TTTTTTTTTTTCGAAATCGCACATAGGCATCAAATTTCATTCAATCAAGAAATTGAGACAAAAAAAGCGAGCAACGCCAATTAGAAAGCCCGAAAATGATTTCTCAAGAGAACAAAATAAAACAATGGATGAAGGAGAACCAAAAGATCTTTTGCAACTAGGAAACGGTGAGGTCAAATCACCAACAGAAGAAGTAAACAAATAAGCACATCTTCAATCCACCATGGACAACGAATAAAACTGACAAAGGGGGACTCCAAAGACTGCCATCACCGGAAAACAACGAACAAAACTCACCATGAATAGCATCAACCAGAGAACTACAAATGAGACTCACCATGAACAGCAACAGCCGGAGAATCGGGTTCTGACAAAGGAGGAAACCAGAAGACTTCCTTCGCCAGCGAACAACGAAGTTGAACGAGAATCATGAACAAATTCAAACCACGAACTGAGAAACAATACCTTGAGAAACTTAAACGGAAAACCTTGAGAAAACTCGAGAGGAAGGCTTTCTCAAAATAGAGATAGTGGGAGGGAAAGAAACCAAAAGGAGAAAGAAAAATGAAGCCCAATTGGGAGTTATTTACATGTTCATAATTGTTTATATTTACGTTATATTGTTTTCTAACTAAAGTGTAATATCCGCCCAAATCATTCTATTAGAGTATGACATTGTGTATGTTTGCCTAAAATGCTCAAATTGTTCCCTATAATGACATTATTCTCAAAGTGTAATACATGTGTCACATGACTCATTCATATTAAGAAAAGTTGTATCCATAATCGAACCCATGCTACTTAATGCAGACATTATTTCATTATTGTCCATAAATTTTCTTAGTTTTGATTCCATTCATTTGGTCTTCAATACCCATAAGAACCATAATTGAAATTATCCATTAATTGGATGTCTCTACGACTTGGACGATATTGCTTTTGATTAGGTGGCATTAAATCATTCATAGATGGTATTATTTGACAAAAGTATTTCTAGCATTACCTTGATTCTGACCACCTACACTATTATAGCCATGTTTATCATATTCATAATTAGAACCAGATATTACATCACCATCATCATCAGTAGATTCATCACCATTATCAGTTCCACTACTACTAGTCTATTTTTTGACACAATCATCAATATTTATCTTCATTTAATTAACAATATAGAGATTAGATGTTAGAGGATTAATTAGTTCATTTAAGACCATTGCATTTTTTTTTTCAGTATTTTCTAACCAAAATATCACTAGATAGTTTTCATTATATATATTATCAAGATCAATTGGGTTGAAGTAACCTTCTAGATGCATTTTATCTCTAAGGAGATATTTAATCCTCATTCTCATGTTATAGTGGACATATACTAATTTCTCTAAAGTGTTATAATATAGGTGATTCCTTTCTTTTATATGAATAAAACTGAAAGTACTTCAATTTCGTTCAGAACTACTAGAAGAAATAATTTGTAATAATATTTTTATTGTTATTTTACGGAGATAATGAGCATCTTGATCATAAATTAACCGCCATTTAGTTGAAAAACAAAAAAGATTTTAAATACAAATATAAAATGCATAATATTCATTCAAATTAATTAATTAACAACTTTATAATTTAACATTAAAAGATAGAAAATTAATAATATATTAAAATTTTAATTTTCCTAGGTTAATTCTTATAAGGCAAATACACATTTGATTTCTTCTGGTTCCAACTTTGTAATGACACTTTTTAAAGGTAATAATAAATCATCATCCATAGCAAGATAATAATCATATTGAAAATGTTAGATTTAAATAATATGCTGAAATTTAAGAAAAAACAACATTATTAATTGGAAGCTTAAATGCTCATTTAATAATTAGCATAAAATATTAAAAATTTGTGATATAAATATACAAAAAAAAGTACATGCTTTATACAAATGGTGAATGAGTTATGTATTTCATCTCTTATTTATAATGTTTATGATGTTTTTATTTGAATTTGAAAATTTTTCTTCAATAATCTTTTTCATTCTGCACACTGTCTCATACACAATTCTTATTGTTATTTTTCATCATAAAAAATTTGAAGTATTTTTATAAGAGGTTTAGTCATCAAAGCATATTTATAAAACAACTCCTCAAACTGAGAATAATTGAGTGATTATAAATGAAATTAGTAATCGTTTTTCCTTTTCAATGATTTTGAATAAAATAAAAACTTGAGCGATATCTTTTAACATTAATTTGAGGTTATGAAATGCGCGTGGTGTTTAATATAAGTATTTCTTTTTTTTTTAACATTTTGCGAGCTGTTTTACAAGTACTTTCGTTATCACTCACAATTTGAACAACATTTTCTACACAACCTTCATCAACCATTGTAATCATCAACTTAAGCAAACAATGTGCATTATATCGTTCACTAGATGCATTAATAGATTTATAAAATATTCTTTACCCATTGCAATACACTATAAAATTGATGGTCGATAATTTAGTTGGTCATGTCCAACCATCACACATAATAGTGAGTTCATATGTTTCAACTTTTTAAAAGAATGTTTTGAAATGAGTTCTCAACTCTTCAACTATTTATCTAAAAACCCTCCATAATCTCAGAACGTATAGGCCCCTCTATACTTTTATAATATGGATATGTTGCATTTACAGAGATGTGGTTGTATAGAAAAACTTTTAAATAAATTTTATATCATCATTTCCATATCATTGATCATAACACATTATTTTTTTTTTGTCTAGCATTTCTATATCTATACAAATACCTATCAATCTCTTCTATACTATGATTGTTACGTTTTGAAGATTTTTTTTAGATGTAGAAGGCTTAATATGTTAAATGCTTTTTTCCAACTCTTTGCTCAAAATATACTATTTTTTATCTTAGATAACTGTGTTAGGAATAAAGAACACCCTCTTGATGTTCTGATATTTTAAATTAGGGCTTAGTGCTATAGAATCTTTACAATTATTTTTGTTCCAACTAAGAGACTTGTAATGCATGTAGACCCATATTAAATGTTTTTTGCTCTGTATCATCATCAATGTTAACATATTGAGGCATTCTTCTTATTCTTTATTCTTCTCCTCCTTATCCTTTTTAGGCCTCAATGTTCTTCCTAATATTTTTTTTGTTTCTTTTATATTTATTGTTCTTTGATATATTCTTTCATTTTCTTATAAATTTTCTTTAGGCATTTCAGATAATTTGAAATGTTTGGATACCTTAGTTAAGTAATGTTTAAGACGGATTATACCACCACCTTTAATAATCTGTCCACAAAAATTGCATTTTGCATGTAGTCTATTATTATTTACCCTAATACCAGATTTTCATAAAAATATCTGATTCTTCTTCCTTTTAGGTGATGTATAAAAAATGTAATTAATTATTATTTATTTTTTAATTTAAAAAAGTATAAAATACTAAAAAATCATATTTGAAGAATAAATATCAAATGATATATGGATATGATAGATCAACTATATATTAAGAATATGTTTAGTCCTTAAGGCTATATCATAACAAAATGTAATTAATTATTATTTATTTTTAATTCTAAAAATTACAAAATAATTAAAAAATCATATTTAAAGAATAAATGCAAAAATGATATATGGATATGATAGATCAACCATATATTAACACTATATTCAATCCTTATGGACAAATCACAACAAAAAATAAATAATTAATGTTTACTTTTAATTCTAAAAATAAAAAAAATAAAAAATCATACTTGAAGAATAAATGACAAATGATTTGTGGATATGATATATCCACCAATAATTTACAATACATTCAGCCATTATGGACAAATAATAATAGAAATAAATAATTAATATTTATTTTTTAAATCCAAAATTTACAAAAAATACAAAAATATTACATGGAAATTTTCAAATCTTACATGGATTTGATAGATCATCCATAGGTTTCAAACATGTTAAGTCTTTACATGCAAATAAAAAAACAAATTTTCAATTTTTTTAATTTTTAACTTTTTCTTACTTTCCTTATAAAAATCTAAAATCTACATATATCATAAAAAATTGTGATTTTTGACATGAAAAATGTAGATAAGCTAACATTAGAATACTTTCAAGCATTTAAACAAGAAAGAAACAATAAATCAAAATGATTAAATGAAAAAAAAAGTTGAAAAATTCACCTACATGCAATTTAACAATTTGGGCAAGTTTTTTAGTAGAGATTTAGAGTGGTTGGAGGGGTGGATTTTTTTTTTTTTTTTGAGTAAAGAAGCCTTCTTTCCCCCATACCCTATTTTTATTCTCAACTCATATTGTTTTAGTGGCATATCAGTCAGTATATATAATTTTTATTAAAAGTGCAAGCATCTTAACCATTAAGTCACTTTTATTTCATGATAATAAATAAAATAAATTAATTTTCATTAACATTAATATTTACATACAATCTAAACAAACAATGTATATACTTATGTTCAACAACTCCAATTATAAATTAAAAAGAATAATATTCAAAATTAGTATTTTATAAATCAATGGAATAAATAATTTATCAAATCCACACACACATATATATATATATATATATACATATATATATGTAAATTCAAGAAACTTATAAAACTAAAAATATAAATAGAATAATTATTTTAACACTTAAAATTTATAATTTTTCACATGTATCTTATAAATTTTATAAATTATTAATTAATATTTTAATTTACATTAAATAACAATGTATTTATCATTTACAAAATACTTAAAAAAATAATATAAATTAAATCTATCAAACCCACAATCTACATTTATATAAAAAGCGAAATAAATTAAAATACATGAATTAAAGTGAAAAAAGAAATAAAGTGTTTAAGCTTGTGGATCTGAATTGATTGTTGAACGAAACGTGGAGGTAGCAGCCTAGTAGGTTGAACGGTTGAAGGAGAACGAGGGATAGAAAGGGAAATATATTAAACCGCAGGGTTTAAAGTGTAACAAAGGGCTTCGGAGTCTGACCAAGAAGGGCCGGAAACTGTGGCGTCTCCGTTACATAAGGTAAGCAGAGATCCCAGGCTTAGTACTCACGGACTCATTGCTAGGGCTAAAGGAGCTAGCAATTGAGCGAACAAGAACAACCGAGTTAGGGAGCTTTCGCCGTTCTCTGGTTTTTTCTCGTCAATAGCTATGGCTTTGAACAATGGATTGAGATCCGGCCTGAAGGTGTTGATGTCCTCTGAATCTATTGTTTCAAGATCAGGTCAACCCTCTTTTTCTCATTCCATTTGAACGCAGAAAGCAAGCTTTAGTTTTTGGATCTTTAATCTCTCATTACTGTTATTGATGCCTTCTCTTTTTCCTAACAAGACTCAACAACTGCTTATTGATACACTTAGGGACTTTTCTAATTTCTTATTTTCCCATAATGATCGTCTGCCTTATAGAGAGGTGCAAATTCATTTTGTGATGCAAGGTGAAGATGGTTGCTTGAATCTGGATTAACAAGTTAGGACAATAATTTGTTATATACTTATATAATTGAATCTTGACGGTTTCTTTATTTATTAATACATTACCGTAGATAGCTAGAAAGAACTGTATCTATTTAATGTTCTATATTAACTATGGTTCTTTTCTTACATGTGTCGTGGCGATGGATACTTTTAATTTCTAATGTATATTTTGAATATCACAATTAGTTAACATAGAAATCTATTTGTTGATAATTCCATTGTAACTTGGTATATCCTTGCTTGTGACGGATGACAACTAGTTACCAAATAAGGCCATCACCCAATACTGGTCCTGGCTCTGCATGGTCTAACCTCTGGAATCTTAGCACTGAATGGCTGTTGTAGTCCTCAAAGACGTTCTCTCACACATGTCATCCAGGGATTTTTCCACCAAACTTGACATGGTTCCTACATGGCAATATGCTACTTGACTGTGAAATAGAAATTGCAGCGAAATCCAACATCAATTGCAATTTTAGGTTGGTGAATATCCAAGTCTGAACTCTAGAAGTCAACTTTTAACAACCAAAGCCGAAATGCAAAATCTAATTTGCTCTGAAATGAGATAGTGGCTTGTCCATTCAAAACATTGATCTTTCCACTAAGGTACTTAATCAAAGCCTAAGGGGGAAAAGAAATAATTTGCTTGCATAGAATTCACTTCCAATGTTTAATCTCCAAGGTATTTTGGTGTTGCCATGCTTTCAGGCACTTTTTGTAACCTGTTTCTTCATCTCTTAATCTGTTTTTTTTGGGTGGCTTTTTATCAGATGTGGCACCAAATAGAGTCAAGGTAGTTGCTTGCAATTCATGTGAAGAAACTACTAGTTTAAGTTAATACCCAATTATTTTGGATGGCTACATCCTACATGAATCCCGTTCTTCCTTTATGGTTTATGAAGAGCCATATGTCCTGTCAAATTCCAAGTCAGATCATTTAGTTAAGGTCATAAGTATTTTCCATTTTTCTCTGGTTGTTGAATGGTTGAGTTTGGGATTGTGATGCTTGCCCATCATGGTCCAAGGACCACTATAGTGTTGAGTGCCTTGTAACATACCCAACTATTTTTCTGTTGGCTCATGAACCCTGTTCTTCCTTTAAGGTCTATGAAGACTGAAGAGCCATATTTCCTGTCGAATTCCAACTCAGATCATTTAGCTTAAGTTCATAATTGTTTGTCATTTTTTTTCTAGTTGATCAAAGATTGAGTTTAGGCTTGTGATGCTTATCCATCAAGGTCCAACCGTCCAAGGTACACTATGGTGTTGAGCACCTTGCAACCCATGTCGTCTTGGTTGCAGAAACTGCTTACCTTTTAGATGGCTTCTTAGATTGCTTTTGGACCAACATAGGTCATGAATAACCATTCAGGAGAGGAAATTATTATCATAAGTAAATATAGACATAAACCTTTCTGATAAATGATAAGAATATAAGTTGGGGTTTCCTACTTATATAAGCCATGCTCCTAGGAATTATTTTAGTTGCCTTGCAGCCTATATCATTTAGGTTGAGGGTGGCCTAGATTTTTAATGGATTTCCCATGCAAGCAATCATGAGCTCAGGCTTCTAATGCTTTTGTGGCTGTGCCAACACCAAGGCATCAAGAGATATTTGTGATGTAAGGCTCTTTTATCCATTAGCCGTTACCATCTCTCTCTCTCTCTCTCTGTTTTCTCTAGGTGGTGATGATGCTTTGCATCTTTATATGCTTCTTTTTGAAGGGGAAGGAGGCTCCTTGGACTTTCAGGCATATACTTAAGGAGGCTAGATTTCTAATTGGCAGTCTAAACACCTTGTTGTGATAAGGTGGATGAGCAAGGAGGTTCCTTGGACTTTCGGACACACATAGGAGGCTATGTTTCTAATTCTAACTAGCAGTCTGAATCTCTGAACACCTTGTTTAGATGGCCTAGATGTGCCAGTGCTTCAGCAGATCATCTTGCTAGATAAGGGGTGGTGAATTAAGTGGACCCTTTTTGTGGGCCTACATTTCTAGTGTAGGTCAAGGGCTGTTGTTGTATGATGAGGTAGGTAAGCCAGTTGGTTTGTTGCATGCTTGATGTAAACTTTGCACGAGCTGTGCCGTGCTGGCCCATTTCACAGATCTACCTCCCCCTCTTGAATGAAATCCCATTCCAGCTAAATCTAATTCCAATTTGAATTCCTGTATGAACCAAACAGACTATGGGAATAGATCATTCCAGTTCTGATTCCAAGGGATTCTGATTCCAACTGCGAACCAAACGGACCGTAAATTTGTTGCAACATGTTTTTTATGTGATAATTGAAAAGTTATTTCATTATCAATATGTAAGCAAAGTTACAGCATCCCAAAGAGAGGCACGGGGTGTGACCTCTCTTGATAGTAAAAGAAAGTGTAAGAAACCACTGTACATTATAATCAAAACATTACAAGGTTGCCCAGTACAGATGTTTCTTCAAATTATCAGCCATAGGATTTGCTGACCTTCTCACCCAACGTGTGAACTAACATTCATGTTGCTTGTTAACCAGCTTGCTTTCTTTAGGAAATCCTTGTAGCACCAAATTAATGAGCTCAGGTCTGTTAACCAGCCCACAGCCACCTTAGAATCTCCTTCAATTAGGAAATCCTTGTAGCACTCAATTACTGAGCTCGGGTTTGTTGCAACATGTTGGAGCATTCCAACCTAACCCAAATGCAAAACTGTAAAACTCTATGGGACTGCATCATTAAATGTTGGACAAAATTGTTACTCTATGCTATAGAGTAAAGGGAAAAGACATAAATACTTCTCTCCACATGCCTTTTTAACCAATAAAAGATGCTTGTGTTGATGATAAATTTGTAACCATGGTTGAAGTGTTCAGTGAAAGAGGGAGGGAGCCGGCCAACCTTAATTATAGATTTAGGTTACAATTCAAATGGCTGTTCTGCCCCTAAGGAGTGTGGGGCAGCATCATTAAGTATGGGACAGAACTGTGACTATGATATAAAATAAAGAGAAAAGATATAAATATTGCTCCCACATGCCCCTCTTAAACCAATAAAAAAAGATGATTGTGTTGATGGTAAATTTGTAACCAAGGTTTTATAAAGCTAAAGGTGAACTGTAATGTCCCAAAAAGGTTAGGCGTAATCCTCAAGGTGTTTTGAAGTATAAGCCTCAAAAAATTGAGAAAAAAATTAATTAAAGTTCATAAGTGATAAAAATAACATATTATCAAGTTAGTATGCTAGCAGGTACACATATCCATAAAATGGAAGTTTAAAAGCAGCACTTTCTAGCTTTTAAGTGTTAAATAATATAATAACTAATCAACTAAAAATTATAAACATTTTACATTTCAAGATTCATAATGCAAAGTTTTCAAATTATTTAAATGGCCAATTTAGAAGAAAGGAAACATATGAAGAATCATCCATATAATTGATATTAGATTTATGATCACCCAACAATTTAGAAGAAAGGAAACAACTCGGTTGATTTGATATATGCAAAAATTACAAGCTTGTGATGTTAGATTTAGAATAATAAGAAAAAAAATCCCACTTGATTTATCCAAGAGAAGCTAATAACTTGATTGGCCCTTTTTGCATTGAACTCTCTTAAAACTCTAAGAGAAGAGAACTAATAGGACTTGATTTGTCCTATTGGTTTTTCAATTTTTACTCTTTTTATTTGGGCCATATTTACCAAAGCTACTTTATCACTAAATATGCCTCACAGATTGAGGCTTGAGGCATACACCCCATTCTGACAAGGGCTTAAGCCTTGAGGTAAAATCTGTGTGCCTCACCTCAAGGTATACACTTCACACCTCAAAGCTTAAGCCTTTTAAAACAATGTTTGTAACAATGGTTGGGGTGTTCAGTGATGTGGATTTTATATCTCTGTCAGTGGACTCTAATCCTGGCTGTAGAAAATCAGTCAATAACTGCTTCCCTTCAAGATACATCTTGAGCAATAGAACCAACTTTCTCAACACTCATTTGATAATTTACCAACAGTGAATCAATAATATTTGCTAAGCTTACCACTAATTCTACTACTATGCTTGCCAATATGCCTCCTCCAATGACATGTAAGCTTTTAGGCTCTTTCCTAAGCCCCCTGAATTTCAACTTAGAAATGAGATCATTTTATCATTGTTTTGATTAATGAAATCAGAATCATTATCTAATCAGTCTTTTTGTGTGTATTCATGCATGCATGTGGGTGAATGGAAGTTTGAACTAAGGAATTATCTTTTGATTTTCTATCGTTTGCAACATACTTCAGCATTTAAATGATTAATGTATTAAATAGTATTCAGGGAGAAAAGTGTATTAATTGAATCGATCCCTCTTCTGTGGATAACAAATTTTCTTGTAACTGCCTCAAATATTTTAATATATTTACTAACTGTTGTAATTAACACTGAGCATCATACAGAATATGAGATGCTCAGAAAGAGAGATCCCTTGTGAACGTGGTAGGGTGTACTGTAGGAATACAACAATGAATCCTAGCCTCAAGCCCCAAATCTCTGATGCATACATAGATGCAAGTTGAATGAAGAGTTTCAAATAGTGATCCACTGTTTTCTCGTCTTATTGAAAACCTTTCATCTTACATCTTCTGTTAGGAGTTTATGGAACTAGGTTTATGTTGTTTAAGATGAAATTGTGGAGCTGCAGTAGAAGGTATGAGCTATTAGTGGAAATGAGTAAGAATGGTTGGAGTTTGTTGAACAAAGTAGGAAGTTTACCTGGACTGTCTGCAATAGCACAAGAAAAAGGAGGCCCACTTGGAGAGTTCTGAGATTGCTGGCTATCAGTTGGTATAGGCTTTGAGGTTCTGGCATGATTTGCAAGACTGTGAGGCTGGTGACCTATTGTTGATCCAGGAGGAAATTGGTCAAAATTGAGATACAGCCTAATAGGCAGGAAAGCAGATGGTGTATGGTTGAGAGGTTGGGCTTTTTTTTGTTTTTTTTTTTTTGTTTAGTCCTTTTATGGGAAGATGGGAAGCTATAGATTTGGACAATATTTCATGGAAGTGGATCTTGAAATCCTCACTTCATCCAAAGTATCCTTCTTCATATGGACCGACACATTGGACAACATTCCTTACAGTGGATCATGTTATTATCTCTACAGGAATGGTGTTTGACAATTGCTGCCGTCTTTGTGGCCAGGGGAGCGAACCAACTTGATATATATTGCAGTTTTTCATGTGATATCTAGTCACAGTTTCTACTTCTATAAGATAGACAGTGGGTTATGCCAGAGGACTTTAACAAACCTGTTGTCCTCCTGGCCAGGACATTGGACTCAGTAGAAGGGTAAGTTTCTTTGGAGATTGGATTCCTCTGGCACTGATGGTAACTAATGAGGTGGTTTCATCAATATTCACGGGGGTTTTGATTGGTCAATGCTCTTCCAATATCAAAATTCATGGTGGATTTTTCCCTCTATTTAACAATTTCCATTTTACCTCTCAAGAAAAAAGGGTTGTAAGTCTTATTTGGGAAAAAAGGTAAGGTTGGACAGTGGACATTGATACAGTCAACGATGCAGATGGGCCACAAAATCTAGTTAAAGGTAAGGTTGGACAGTGTACTACTGATTAGTGTATCTTAGAGAATCTGAGCTTTCAGATCTGGCTATAATGGGTGTGTGGGTGCGTGGACAAGCTATAGATTGGTTTAAGGTTCAACATGAGTAAAAACAATGAGAGAAATAGATATACAAGGGATGTAGTTTAAGAGATTATAATTTGAGTTTTCAGCCTGAGTCCCACTTCTTTTCTTTTTTTGATAGATAATGGAAATGATAATTTTATTGATTAAAGACCTAAGTATACATCATACAATTCCCCACTAAGAGGCGTGAGGTGCAGCCTCCTAACTACATCATAAAGCTTACAATTGAGCCCAAAAGAGCTGATTCCTATGTACTCCTTGTTTAGTTAGGAGGTCTGCCAGCCCATTTGCCGATCTTCTTTCCCATTGAACTGTGAGTGAAATATTTGAAGTCAGCCACTTAAATCTTCTCAAATTTCCCCTGTACGGTCAGGCTGCCGTCTTTGGTTCTTTTAGTCATCCAACAACCAATTTGGAATCACCTTCAATCATTAAATGCTCCACTGCCAACTCTTTTGCATATTCTGCTCCTTGTAACACAGCTTGGAGTTATGCATTTACTGAGTCTCCCCACCCTATAGGACCAGAAAATAGAGCTACAATCTGACCTTCTTCGTTTCTAAAACCTCCCCCTTTTCCTGAAGGCCCTGGGTTGCCCAAACTACTGCCATCAAAATTTAGTTTAATGACGCCTGCATCAGGAGACTTCCAATCCACCACTGGCTTGCTTCTGACTGTAGAACTTTTGGCCAGTTGTTCCCAATTTCTCCTTATGTCATCAAAAGTGTAGGAGGAGAACAGGTCCAAGGATTTTACTCAACTTATGCCCCTACATAAGATGCTTTCAAACACACAAGTTTAATCCCTCTCCTTGTCATTAAAGATTCTAGCATTTCGTTTCTCCCACACAGTCCACACCAAAGCAGTTCTCACACACCTCCACAAAACTCTTCCTCTTCTCTTTGGCCACCTGAAAGTTGTAGGATCAAAAAGATTGTTCCTCTTCTCTTTGGCCACCTGAAAGTTGTAAGATCAAAAACATTGCAAATCTGCACCGGTTCTATCCACCTGCTCCCAAAAAGATCAAAAAGCTTTTCCCAAAGGCCTACAACAAAAGGGCAAGTGATTAGTAAATGGTAGCAACTTTCCTCGTTTGCTTTGCAAAGGGTGCACCAGTTAGGAGAGATACAGAGACTAGGTCTTCTTTTTTGCAAAACATCCCAAGTGTTGATTTTCCCAAGGGAGACTTCCCAACAAAGGGCTCCAACTTTAGGAGGGACAAGTTTGGACCAAACTTCCTTGCTATGAAAAGGTTGAGGCAAAGGAGAGGAGCACAAGGAAGCAATAGCTTCATATGTACTAGAAATGTTACTCTGAATCAATAGTTTGTTGTAGCTAAATAAGCTGTTAAGATATACTAATTAGTACTGAAGTAGTACAGCATACCAGATTCAACGGGAACTTTTTTTCTCCCACTTCTAATCAACTTCAGAATGATATTTATTCTTAAATAGAGTCACAAAAGAGTTCAGTTTTTGCATGTTTTACTGGTTCTTTTGAGTCAAGCACCTTCTGTTTTATTCCATGTCGTGTTACCTGCATTCACCTACCTAGAATTAATGTAACATGTTTTTTTCCATAGTTTTTCATACTTGTATATATTCTAAATATGAACTTACGAACAGCGATAAACTATTTTCTCAGTTAGAAGCTTTCACTCAACTGGGGTGAAGAGGATGGGGGGAGGACATGGCCATGGTCATGATGAGGCATATTATCTTCATGCAAAACACATGTATAACTTGGACAGGATGAAACATCAGAAATTGAAGATGACTTTGGGCGTGTTCACTGCATTCAGTATCGGTGTGGCTGTTCCAATTTATGCTGTCATTTTCCAGCAAAAGAAGACTGCCTCTGCTTGATTTCTTATGTTTGTTGGTGGTAATAAAAGAGACAGTACTTTATAAACTCTAGTATCAGTTTTCTCTGTTTCAGGCTTAACAATCCTTTGGCACTGAAAATGCCTTTTTGTCCTCTTGATTGTTTTTATTCCCTTAATTTTGAATACTGCCTTGTCGTATGCCATTTATGCAACAGTAGATCTTTGGTTTAGCAGTTCGAATAAACAACTCTTGGGCTGAAGTAAGAAACTGCATATGTATGTTTAATTGCTGAATTTACATCCTACGAAATGATGGAATCGTTTTATCTATCTACCAGCTAGGTCAATTGGACTGACTTGTGAATGGCATCGTTTGGAGAAATCCTGATCTATATAATGAACGGGTTCGTTGCCCAAAATGGATCAAAATTACACAACTAAATCAGTATCCATCTTGTGCTGTTGTACATGATCTAGCATGGTCTTGCATTTGCGTTACACACTTCCAAGGTTTTTAAAAACAGACCTCGAAATGGACGTTTTTAAAAACCTCGAAATGCATTTGAAAATAAATGCATAATGCATAATAAAGTGTTTTTCTTATAATTTATTTTCGGGTAATCGGGTTGGCCTGACGCGTATCTGCTATGTGCAGTCGTGAGAACAGTGTTTATCTTAAAATTTATTTTTGGGTGTACAGGTTTCCCCGACCTGTATATATGCCATGTGACAGTCATGAAAAAACGGATGAGTAGTTCTCTTGGATTTAATTCTTTGGTTAATATGGGTTGACTCGAGCATTTGATAGAGAAATGTAAAAAAAAAAAAGAAAATTTCACTTTAGTACCCTGAATTTTTTGTTTGCAACTTTACATTTTTATCTTTTTTATACCTGTAGAAAACACTCACACTTAGAAATTGAACTCTATGCTGAACTCTATATCCATAGAAAACTCTGACGAAACTCTTGAACTCTTGAAGAACACACTCACACTTAGAAATTGAACAATACTTTGACCCTAAATCATGTCCTTGAACTGCTTTTGTTTGTTGATGGATTAAGGTTCTGCTCCATCTTGGCTTTCACTAGATAAGTTAAACAAATGGTTAGAAACAGGTTTATGTAGGACTAAGATTCTGCTCCACCTATCTTGGCTTTCACTAGATGAGTAAAAGATGGCACCCTGCAAAAAAACACTGCTATTTTTTATGGTTGCCATTTTTGAAAAAACTCTATGAAACCAAACACCTCCAAAAATATTAAACATCATGAAAAAAATGAAAACATAACAAAGAATCCCATTATTATTCTTCCAAAGGAAGAACTTTTGAAATGTACTTGATCAAATAGTTTTTTGTTTTTTAAGATTATTTCATTCCTATTCTTTCAAAGATACCAGCAGAGGGTTTGTGGTATTTTTTGTTCATTTTTACGTCAATAAACCTCATCCACCAGCTCTCTAGATCCCAATTCAGATCAGTCATTTGGTGGTGCATTTCTTGGTCCAGTAGGCCCAAGAAACTAGAAAGTGCAACTTAGATCTTTACTCATGCCCCGATCTGAAATTTTTCTTAGTAATTTTTTTTAAGATCATCAGCCAAAGGGAGAATTTATTTATTTATTTTTTTCCAGAGAGAGGAGGCGCCTAGAGTATTTTATTAACTTCAGCTTTTCATTTTATTAGCTGCACCATCTACACCAAATTTCTCAGTACCGACACCCCCTTAGTGGTTCAGATTTAAAGTCATAAAATTAAATTTAAATGCTAGTATATTATTGCTTACTACTTACTACAGATGGAGATGGTTAGGATTTGAATTCATTGAACTATTCCAAGAGTGTTTGTTAAATCCCCAAACCAAAAATTCAATCCAAGCTTCTGTATTACAGGTTTGTTTCTTCTTTATTTATGATTTAAATTGATATAGCCATACAGGTTTATTTATTTATTTTAACATGTAAATTGATTTTGATCAAGGGAAGTTTTTTTCCTTTTTCTTTTTGTAATTTTTGAGTGGAAAGTTATTGCATAAAAAACCGAAAAACCATAGTATGGTTAACTGGTTTCATCCATTTGGTTTCGGTTCAGATTTTTTAAAAATCCGATCAATTCAATTCGGTTAAAAAAATACCCATGATTTGATTAACTGAACTGTGAACACCCCTGGCAGCTATTACAATCAGCTAATCCTATCTCTATGAAAGGGTGGAACCGGGACAATCTGGGTCTGGTTGAGTTTTAAAGTTAGCCCACAACCCAGCCCAACCCCGAGTGGATAATTGTTTTTGGTATTCGGTGCTATGCACTCCCCCGTACCCCTTTTTCCCCAAAGTAAGTACTGGTTGCGGGATTTGATTCCGCGTCAATGCTAGAACAAACCAACTAACACACCAACAAGCCATCCCTTGGTTTTAAGATGATGAGACATTCATGTGATTGAAAGAATAAAAAAATTAAAAAACTTTTTTTCTATGCCAGTGAAATGATTCTTGTTATTTTAGCTAGTTTTGTTTGGAGAAAGTGGAGGTATTTTTAGTCAATTAAGGTTTAAGAGAAATGGACGAGAAAAACATAAGGTGGACATTTTTGTAATTTGATGCATTCCATTATCTGACATAACAGCCAGGGAGTATTTGTTGTAAAATGAAAGTGCAGGGGGTATTTGTAGCCAATGTAGAAAATGAGGGTATTTTTAGCCAATTAGGATTTTAGGAAATTGGACCAGACACTGGACTGACAGATCAAACTATTGAACTGTAACCTGGAGCTATATCCAAATCGGATGTACCCTAGAAATCGAACTATGTAAAAAGCCGCTTAAAACTGTATAGTTTCTTTCAAAATGCAAATTATAAAATTTGGACCCATGACCTGTTTTCAATGTATATTGAGTTATTATCATTAATCCATTTCTTTATTATTTGTGTTCATTTTTGCCATGCTATATTTTTCTGGTTTATGGTAATGAAAAAATTATGTTAAGTCAATTACATTATATAGATTTGCAACATAAACAACACAAATATCACTGTAGAAAGTTAGAAATGCATAAATGATATTACAGGTGGAAGGACTTCCATATCCGTTGGTTATAGGCTTTGTGGTAACTCCCAAATCTTGTAAGTAGTACGTAATTGACTTATTTTTCCTATGGTCTGTTTTCTTGGCAAAAACAAAATGAGATAGAGAATAGATAGGGTTTGGAGAAAAAGAGTAAGAGGCTTTGGGTCTATTATAGGGTTTTTATGAAAAAAATAAATAATTTCTTCTTCTTTTTTTTTTTAATAATTTTGGGAGTTAATTAAGTGAAAGGGCATTAGAGAGTTAGATACTCCTTAACATTTTTGTTTAGCTAGTGGGCTATACAAAGGGCTACTGGTTTACTGTGTGAACCTCTCCCCTTTCTGCTTTTATTTCCGGTTTAGTTCTTTAAAGCTGAAAAGCAAAAGCTTAAAAAAATTGATTAAACGATATACTATTATATTGAATATCTACAAAGGCTAAAAGCTAATATTTATTGTTCCTTCAAAAAGCCTGATATGTGAAACCCACGCATATGAAGTTGACGACATGGTGCATCATGATTTGTGCAATAGCTAGTAGCCTAGTACAAGTAAAACTGCAGACGATACATATTCATCTCAATATATAAATAAATATACATTTTAAGAGAGCAAGGGTTAACTGAACTTGAAGGCTTTCGAATCGCTGTTGGTTTGGGAACTTTTTAGGTAAATTAGTTTTGTTTTATTTCAAATTCGATTTTTGGCCAAAAACTGTTGAAAAAGTTAATAATTCATTGACCTAGGCTGTTGAATTGTCGATCCGTTGATCCATTCAATGGTTTTGATCGCTTTTATTTTTAAATTTATTTGTCAGAACAGATCGTCCATTCAAACTGGACAGTTGGACCATTGACCTAGAAACCAATGATCAGAACGATTCCAATTTCGGATCATTTTTTAAAACGTTGCTAAACTTGATAACTGTATTCGAGGATGTGTTAACCAAAGAGAGAGAGAGAGAGAGGTTGTGGGGCATATACACTTTATAGCTGATGCGTGGTGTTATTATTGGTTATATAACCCCTAATACAGCCATCAGGTCAGTTAATTGGGACTCATGATGGGTTTAAGAATGACAAACCAGCCCAAGGAGTGCAATTCGGGTTGGTTCAGATTAACAATTTACACTGCTTCAGGCTTGAACCTTTGGGCCAGGTCCATTCAAATTATGAGAAAAGGCCAACGAGCCCACCCAAGTTTCATCCTGCCCAATCCATTTTCAGATGGGTTGCAAATCGATTGAATCAAATCAAATATTATTCATCAGATTCAGTTAAGTCCCTAATCCAATCGGGACTATTTAAACTAAAAAATGATTTTGATATATTGTATACCATGAATAAAATGTCTTGAAAATAATTTTAAGTAGCTAGAAGCAGTCAACTAAACCTGTTCATAGGCCAGGTTAGGCTGGGTTTGGGTTAGACTTTACCTCTATATTAATAGAATATGCTCAGGCCTGAGCCCGAGTAAAGCCCGGTCATCGGGCCTCGGTCTTGAGTCCAACTTGACCCTCATATAAAGCCCAAAGCTTGGAGCCCGACCAGAAATTTGGAAAAATGATTCTTTCTTTTTTTATTCAATTAAAACTATTTTATTTATATTTAAAAACCTCAAAACCTAAAAAATAATGAAAGATCTCACTATTACTTTCATCATACCCTTCTTGTGTATTTCTGAGAGCATTCTCAGGCAATTGAACGCCTCCCCATGATGATGTTCTCACATAGACAGTAAATAACATATTCAAATTTTCTGACGATGACATTCTCTAGTGATGGTTTTACTCCATAGAATTTATCTCAAAAATATATTTTTGACATTATGTAATCTTTAACTGAAGGAATACTAACGGATGGACCCAAATGTCTATTTTCGAGAATTCATTCCCCATGACGACGTTCTCACATAGACAACAAATAACATATTCAAATTTTCTGATGACGACATTCTCTGATGATGATTTTAGTTCATAGAATGATCTAAAAAATACACAAGAAGGATATTTTTGACATTATGTTATGTTTAACTGATGGAATACTAACGGATGGACCTAAGTGTCTATTTTCAAGAGTTCAGGGTACCCAAATGTTGCAATTGAAAGTTTAGGATACCTATCTGTCACTGCCCCCCAAAGTACAGAGTACCTATCTATAATCTACCCTATTTTAAATATTAAATGTATGTTTGAAT